AGATTTCTGGAGCCACATTTCCTAGGAGACTGCAAAGAGTTGGTCTTGAAAGTACATCATGAAGAGATGTTGGAAAGCACATTCTCAGCAGTGGTAAGGTTACATTTCTTCACTGTCAAAGATAATGATCTAATGATGTCTATCAATTGTGATGGTCATACTCAGTAGGCGAGAAAGCATATAGTAAAATACCAGATGTTTAAAATTTTGGTCCGTGAGGTTGGTGTGAACTTAATGAAGCATCCCTAATGAGAAACTCAAAAATTAATTTGAATTATTCAGAATAAAAGGCTGACTATTTGTTTTACTTTCACTTAAAAATAATATAACACCAAAGAAACAGCAGTGATTGAAATGAACAGATTGGTTTGGCAGATTCTCCAATCTAGTTAAAAACTGTATTTCAAGCAATTTTCTTTTTATGAACAAGACTCTATTAACCTATAGAAGGAAATGCATAAGTAAACGTTCAGCCTTAAAGAGTATACAGTCTTAAAGCTGAATAAATGGACAAGTTATCAGAGTCAATTCTTATTGCAGAAAATACCTTCCTTTAAACAACTGTGATAGTGACTGGATATAAAGGAAATTTGCTAAGATGGATACTTGGTGATGTCTGATAAATATGGTCATAATAAAAGCTACCTAGATCTACTATCCCTTTCCTTTCTACTTCTTCATCTAAGGAGACAGAAAGTTTCCTGTTACTGAATTGATCAGAGAAGTAGATTTTTACGGGATTAACAGTGGACTTTTAGAGTAGATGAGAAGAAACAAAGGAGTTGAACAGGGTGACTACTGAACTCCTCTGAAAGAGCTGTCCATTATTTCTTCAGAACATTCTTCATTTCATGTTTGTATCTTCTCTGTAGCAATCTGCTTAATAGGTTTCTCTGGCACACAGAGCAAAGACTGGAACCCGGCACCTCCAAGAGTCATTCTTTATAATTATGGACAGATCACGTTGCTAGAAAGAGCTTCCTTGGGGTACAGTGAAGTATGTGTCCTGTAGCTTCTACCAATAGATCCTACTTCTACACTCAGGGCATCATGAGAAATATGAGCCTTTAAACTCAGCCCTCAGCCCATTCCTGGGAAGAACTGTGCTGGAACCAGACTACCTTTCTATCCCCAAATCCCTTTCTTCACCACTTAATGTCCTTCCCATTTCAGAATTCCTTCTAAAACTAACCCTCCTCCATGGCCCTCTCATCTGCACCTCAATTAGTAAAGGAACTTGGTCCAGTGATTAGTTGTTTTCTCACTTGAATCCCTAAATACCTTCCCTCTGCTTTATTGCTCCTTTTATGAATTTGCTCAGGTTTACCTTACACCACATAAAATTAAATAAAGCCCCTCTTAGTCCTGCTACTTCCCAAACAACCGCACAATTTTGGGGCCTTTCTTTTTCTGTCAAGCTGTTTTATTAGATTTGTATAAACAGTCTATGTTTTACATTAATTTTTATAGGCTGCAAAGTTGCTATTCAGTATACTACTTTATGGATTTGAAATAAACCTAGTAGTTGACAGAGTTCCAAAAGTAGGCAGTGGTTAAGTTTTGATAGGAACTAGTTTATCAGATTGAAACAAATGAGTTGATGGTGTCTAATGGATGAATTCATACCTCTAGTCTAATCTCTCTGTATTTATAAATAATCTTCTAAGAAGATTTTTGTATTTCATATTTAAATATCACATAACCCTCCTTCTGAAATTCAATCCTGCAAAATGAGAGTGAAGTCATACTATTGAAAGATGTTGTAATCTGTTAGTTTTTTGTGATGAGTAGAACGTATTAATAACCTACTGAAATTTAAAAGGAAAATCCCAGTTACTACAGACAGTGTGAACATTGCTCAATATGTGTGTGACCAAATGGATTATCTGATGCCGTTCGCACACTTATTTTCCTTCCCTTTATCACCCTTGAGAGATGGGGATCTTTGGTAAGACAAAGTAAAAAGACAGAGACTATTACCATGACAGCATCAACATTTTCTATGAAAATATTTAACAGCCAGTATTTTTAAAATAAAAGTTTTTTGTTTTGTGGATATGTTACTCTGAATAACCTAAAAAATATACACTCAATCCAAAGAATGTTGTGAAACGCTCCTGGCCCTCCCTGACAAAACAGAAAATGAAAAAGAGAGCAGAAGAGTTAGAAAAGACCTGGGAAAATATGACAATAAACCCCACACTCCAAAAACAAGTGCCAAGGAGAGCAAATTTTTGAAACAAGTGCAGGAAAGAGAATTACCCATAATATAAAAATAATTCTTCATTATGCAGAATGTCTAACAGAGTTCTCTTGAATAAAGAAGTCCCCAGGCACTTCCAAAATGATTCATTCTCTGATGATTCAATTCTCTCAACATCTACAAATAAAGTTACTTTGTATTGATGTACTTTAAAATTCTCTGAAATAATTCAAACATTCATATATTTTAATTGACTTCTATAACAGGCAGTACTATTCTAAAGTTCCCTAAATTCTGAGCATTATTTATAAAGTCAAATCTGCTTAAATCAGTTTCTTGTGATAGAAGAGACCATTACTTAAACCTTTGTGATTTGTGACCTATGATTGCTCTCTCTTAAATGTGATCCGAAGGTCAGGTCTAACTTAATGCCGTGGAACACAGCACAAATTCATTAGCCGTAGTAACACAGCTAAGATCCCATGAACATCTGTACCTCTGACCCAGAACTGTGAAGGAAATCCATCTCTCTGATGTTGCCAAGTCATTCTGGCCTGCATCAATGAAGTCACAGAGGCCGTAAAGGAGATAAGAGTTTACAATATTCACCAAAAAAATCTTAGGAGTCCTGAAGTATGAATGCAGGTCACAAGAAAAGGAAAAGTACCACGTACTTATTACCAGGAAATGAAGCCACTAATAAATGTCTTAATGGCATGAACTACATAGTTTACAAAAGCAAGTCAGAAACATAGTCAAAAATCAGGTTTCATTATGTAAGATCATGAAATTTCTCAACAGGAAAAGATTTTGGAGTTAATTCAGCATAGTCCCTTGTTTCAGAATTAAGATAACAAAAGACCGGAACATTTAAGTTATGCAGGATTGCACAGCTTGTTAGAGGCAGAGCCAGGCTAAGAGCAGTCTCCTGACTTCAGTCTAGCCCGCTTTACCAACAACTGGTTGCTAAGACAACTTTTTATTCATAAGATGTCTTTAGGGCTTCCCTGGTGGCTGAGCTGGTAGAGAATCTGCCTGCAATGTGGGAGAACTGGGTTCGATCCCTGCGTTGGGAAGATCCCCTGGAGAAGGGAACAACTACCCACTCCAGTATTCTGGCCTGGAGAATTCCATGGACTATACAGAGTCAAACACGACTGAGTGACTTTCACTTCACTTCATGGAAAGTCAACTACCAAAAGCCTATATTCCACTAGACCATGCATTCTCAAACAAGGACTATATCACCTCCAAAGGGAGTGAACATTGGTTTCTGGAGATAAAAAAATTCTTAGCCATTAGATATTACAATGGTCTGAGGCCTTCCTAAGGGCCACTGTATATAATCAGATATACAAATACAGATGTCTGTGTCTTCATCATTGGATAATAGAGCACAAGTAAGAAAAAGTTATACACTGTGCTCAGTTCTATGAAAAAGGTACATGTAAGGTGCATTGGAATCTAGAAAAAAGGCTTAGTATAAAGGAAAATACTCTGAAAGTTCTCAGGATCTGAGTCCCACTTCTGTCACCAGTTAACATTTACAGTATGAAAATTTTTCTAGTGAGATTCTCAAAGTCTCAGTTTTCTTACCTATAAATTACCTACTGTACATAATTTGGAGAGAAATAAAAGAAATAATATACAGAAAGCAATAAACTGAAAATATGGCACAAACAAAATAAGTTTCACTCTGTATCATTATTACAACTATCTGTTAACATTTCAGAAGCTGTTATGCCGATGTCCGATCCCCGAGCGGGAAGAGAGAAGGCTTCCAAGACAATGCAACTCGCAAAAATAAAGGGAAGGTTATTGCTGACTCAAGTCAGGGCTCCTGCTGCAACCATCGCAGTGGTGCAGGGTCAGAGAGCCCCGAGCCTAAGTTGTTACACAAATTTATAGGGTGAGCATAAGCAGTTGGTAGCTGGCTTAAGCAGATTGGTTACATGTTTGCAAAGCAATCTTATTGGCCCAAACCTTCGCGGGCTTTTTTCAAACTTGGGCATTCGAGGGCTTTTCAGCTTTCCTCTGATAGGTTCCCTCTTTCTATCCTGCCGCAACCAACGCAGTGGTGCAGGGTCAGAGAGCCCCGAGCCTAAGCTGTTACACAAATTTATAGGGTGAGCACAAGCAGTTGGTAGCTGGCTTAAGCGGATTGGTTACATGTTTGCAAAGCAATCTTATTGGCCCGAACCTTCGCGGGCTTTTTTCAAACTTGGGCATTCGCGGGCTTTTCAGCTTTCCCCTGATAGGTTCCCTCTTTCTTACCAGGCATATGTTGATTGGCTGGCTCCGGCCTAATAATCATGTTACCCCGGAAGACCAGGCCTACTCCTAATCTAGGCTGCCTGTCATGGCGTTAGCCCTGGCAGCCTTACAAAGCCATGAAGCCTAGACTAACCAGACTAAATTTATCAATTTACTCATTCAGCAATTTGTTCTTAGAAACATTCTCATCTTCTTTTTCAAAAAACCCTCCCCCTTTGTCTTTGCCCCCTGCCTCATTTCATTCTCCTCAACTTTTTGTTGCACCCTGCTTCTGCCTTTAGTTCCCTGGTGATCTGTTTGTACCTTGCTCTGCCTGCAAGAGCAGGCTCCGGGATGCCTGAGCCGGAGGAATTATTGGGATTCAGCACAAGTTTCACCATTAACTTACATTTTTGCCCTCCCTTCTCCAAGATGGTAGACTAAGCTATCTCACTGACTTACATCTCCCCATAAGATCTCTAACTCTTTGAGGACATAGGTTCATTTATTCAAAAAGTATTGGTCATTTACTCTATTGCAGGCCCTGCTCTAAGTGAACCATTCCAGGTATTATTCTTCAGTTGTGAATAAAACGAACAAAACACCTGCCCTCATGGACTCTATTCCCACAGGATAGGAAGACAGTACTGTAAATAAGTGACCTATAGAATTTGTTAATGGTAATTGTCTAAGAGGAAAAGCAAGTGATAAAGGAGGATAACAAGTATAGCAAGGAATATAAATTTAGGAAAGGGGTCATATAAAGTCACACACATGCACACATGTAAGAAAAAGATCTGGAAGAAATGAGGAAATGGGACATATTTAGGGGAAGATGGGCTTCCCTGGTAGCTCGGCTGGTAAAGAATCTGCCTGCAATGCAGGTGACCCCAGTTCAATTCCTGGGTTGGGAAGATCCCCTGGAGAAGGGATAGGGTACCCACTCCACTATAGATAAACCTAGAACTCACTGCAGATAATATCATTTAAAGAAATCAGAGCAGAATATATGGCTTTAAACCTGTCAATTGGGTGTGAATAGACAATAATTACTGCTCACTGAGGAAGCTGGGTAGAGGTGTAGGCAGAATGAAGTGTTAGAGGAAGCTTCAGACAGTTAGACAGCAACTAGAATTGTTAGATGTAGCCAATAAATAAAAATATAAATAAACGAAAACCCTGGATGCCAAGTTAGGTTTGTATTTCAGATAAATAAGTAATTTTTAGTATAAATATGTCCCATCAACATGTAATTGGGTGTTCAGTATTTTATGTACTTTATTGGAGGCAAGACTACCTCCAATATACAAGAGTTAAATGGAACCTCAGTGTCAAAATTGAATACAGACATGTCCTGACTGCTGTAAATTCTCACCTAAGCAGTCTGATTGAGATGATTCATGTAATGAGTCAAAATAATAATCAAGCTTCTACCTACAGTTAGTTTTATTTCATAATTTAATTTGTATCTTGTTCTATGTATTATATAATGTATATATGACTATAATAGCACAAAAATGTGTATATTTGCATAAAATTTATATATAAATTTTTGGACCTGAGTAGCAAAACCTTTATTCCTGATAAGAAAGATGAATCAAAAAAGTTGGAGACTACTGTTCTACTCAATAGATAAGCAGCACTGAGAATTTGTAAAACTGACCAGATATGCTGAAATAACTTTCTTATCACAGACTAGCTGATAATACAGTAGGATAAACCCCTGTGGGGTAATAACCTTCAAACAATTTATTTGTTGCATTCTTCATCTTACTTAGGAAAACAGTTAAGTTTGTTTGGACTTGATCCTTACACTTCACATGGTCAGTCATGTTTGGTTGTTTGTTCCAAAAATTGCCTGTCCGTAATTCAAAATTGAAAAGATAAAGACGTGGAAATAAAACAAGAAGCCACAAACCACTCCCACTGTGCAGAGTGACAGTATTGTAATGCCACAGAATCTAGAGACAGATGGTGGCTTATAGCAGACATCAATCTTCAATGAGAGTAAATTTAGGATAATGCCCCTCTTTGGTAATGGACATGTCTTTGCAAAGTTATTACTGACAACATCTTCTAACATGCTGGTTTGCTAAGACAAGATTTTTATTGCATCTAATCTTGTCATAAGGCATGAAAAAAATAGTTGGGTACATGTTTTTCATGTATAGTTTTTACAAGAATTGCTTGCATTAGAGAGTGGCTAAATTGTTTTCCATATTTTATGGCACATTTTTAATGTTCCACCGCACACAACATTGATCACTCAGTCCATTATCTTATTATGATATCCTGAAAGGAGACACTTCCTTTGGGAAAAGCTATTATTTGAAATGAGATGAAAACTCTAACTACATAGGACAAAAGGGGATGCGATTTATTGAGCAGCTGCTTAATATCATCAAAGGAAATAGCCAGAAAAAAAATCTAAAGGTATATATATTTTTCAAAATGTCTGACCTATCCTAATATGCTTTGTTGTCTGAGTATCTTCTAAGTATCTTCTGAATTGGACCCTTCTCAATAGCTCAAAGTGTCCCCAGTAAGGACACAAACAACTTTCATTTTATATATATATATTTTTTTTTTTTTTTACTGTTGTATACATTAGGAAATATGCTTGTCATTATCAGAGTTCTAATAGAAAAATAGAGGGACTTCTACATGGAGACAGTTTGTAGAGGAGCTGCAGAGATACATAAGAGATGTGGATCATCCCAGAGATAACACCAGTAGAAAGTCATATTTCTAGATTGGGGCCATCTAGATGGAGCTAGACCCATCCTAGGGCTGTCTGTGGGAGCTGAGACCATGAAAAGGAGGGGTTGCCGATGGACCTGTAATCACTGTGAAGATACAGCACTTGGAGGAGACACTACTGAAGGGAAGTGAGAAAATACTTAATTCTCCCCTCTTCCTATCCTTCAGTTTCCAGCAGTTCCTCCCCTTGGAAGGATGCCTTGTAAATGCAGTTCCCAGTAATACAGATCCTAGGGGAAAGGCAGGGAATGAACCTGGGAGCCAGAAGATAATCAGATAACTTAAACACATCAAAATACTTTCTTTTCTTCGGCATTTCTTTTAATATGCTTCTGAGCATTGCAAACTCTTTTCTACACTTACAATTTTTTCCCAAGCAGTAAACTTTGAAATCTTTATCAGCAGGGGTAAAGGTCAAAGTGGAGGTTGGAAGGTGGGTAGAAGAGACAGTTTCCTCAGAATGTATTTTGAAAAAATATTGTGAGATGGCTTTGCAGACTCCTAAAAAAAGGAAACAGATAGGCAAATGGTGGAGCCTCCACTGTATTCTGCACCTGTTACAATCTCAGAAGCAATGCAAGGTACTTTTCCACTTGTCACTTCAACTTTAGAAGGGCCTAAATGGGGAATTTATGTCTCTATAAGTAGAAATATAACTTATATGCAAAGTACATCATGAGAAATGCTGGGCTGGATGAAGCACAAGCTGGAATCAAGATCACTGGGAGAAATATCAATAACCTCAGATACGCAGATGACACCACCCTTATGGCAGAAAGTGAAAAAGAACTAAAGAGCCTCTTGATGAAAGTGAAAGAGGAGAATTGAAAAGGTTGGCTTAAACCTCAACATTCAGAAAACTAAGATCATGGCATCCAGTCCCATCACTTCATGGCAAATAGATGGGGAAACAGTGGAAACAGTGACAAACTTTATTTTGGGGGGCTCCAAAATCACTGCAGATGTTGACTGCAGTCATGAAAAGTTATGACCAACCTAGACAGCATATTAAAAGCAGAGACATTACTTTGTCAACAAAGGTCCGTCTAGTCAAAGCTATGGTTTTTCCAGTGGTCATGTATGGATGTGAGAGTTGGACTATAAAGAAAGCTGAGCACCAAAGAATTGACGCTTTTGAACTGTGGTGTTGGAGAAGACTCTTGAGAGTCCGTTGAACTGCAAGGAGATTCAACCAGTCCATCCTAAAGGAAATCAGTCCTGAATATTCATTGGAAAGACTGATGTTGAAGCTGAAACTCCAATACTTTGGCCACCTGATGCAAAGAGCTGACTCATTTGAAAAGACCCTGATGCTAGGCAAGATTGAAGGTGGAAGGAGAAGGGGACGACAGAAGATGAGATGGTTGGATGGAATCACCGACTCAATGTACATGAGTTTGAGTAAACTCTGGGATTGGCGATGGACAGGGAGGCCTGGCATGCCACAGTCCATGGGTTTGCAAAGAGTCAGACGTGACTGACTGACTGAACTGAGGAATAAAAGCTATGATATCTTTTACTCCCTCTGAAATTCCCAGCTCTCTGTAGGGGGTCCTTTGTATTAATATCTGCTGTTGAGATAGGTTGACAATAACAAGTTTTTGTTTGACAAGGAGCCCAAACACCTCCAAATATGTAAAGGCTCCCATCTAGAAACTTAATAACAAATGAGGCATACTGTACCATATCAGGTCTTGGGTCCAGTCAATTATTTTGTCTCTGACAATAACTCAGATGATTCAAAGACTTTCATATTTGTTCAAATAAAATTCTTAAATACTTGTAAGGTTGGGTTCCAACTAATAACAGCTAGCATCTATTGAGTGGCTTACTAGATGACAGGCACTACTGTAAGTGTTCTACTTGTATTAATTTATTCCTTGCCATAAACCTGTAAATCAGTTTTATTATTGTCTTCATCTGACAAATGAGGAAATGGAGGCAAAGAACCTTCACATAACTTGTCTAAATGCGTTGAACTAGTGACGCAAAACTGGATTTGAACCTTCCTAAGAGTCCTAATATAAGATTTTCCAATATGCCATGATGACTTTGTGGATTCATGGCTCAAAATTGTATCTAGTTCTTTGTACTATAAATTTCCTAATGAATAGTTGTGCTTATTTCTCTTGAGGAAAAGCAAAATTATAGTCATGCTAAATATGTGCGTGTTGAAATGTTGAATGGATTTGAGTATCCCTATGTCCTGGGCAGGAAAAGAAGGGGACGACAGAGGATGAGATGGCTGGATGGCATCACCAACTTGATGGGCATGAGTTTGAGTAAACTCCGAGAGTTGGTGATGGACAGGGAGACCTGGAGTGCTGCAACTCATGGGGTTGCAAAGAGTCGGACACGACTAAGCGACTTAACTGAATTGAACTGAACTGATGTTCTTTTGAATAAAGAATTTGATCTTTTTTTTTTACTGGATCACAGTATCTGATCATATATATTTTTGGCATCCCAGTATTAAAGTACAATTTTCTTTAAGCAAGATAAAAGTGTGGAAATAATGATATTAGAATGTTTGTTTCTTGAAATATAAAACCCCAGGGTAAGGGACTGGTGAAAATCTCTTCTGATGCAGAGACTGGGTGCTGTAATAACCCTGGGCTTAGTCAAGTTATAGAAACACAAAGTACCCGCCTTATTTTCTCAGACTTGCATTTGAGGCCTAATTCAGTCTTTGTCTGCAAGCAATTAGCAATATGGGCCCAGCATTAGACAAATTAGAGAATAACGACTGCCATCCACCATATGCCAGTCATCTCCATCATGAAGAATGCTAGGACAATGAGTTTATACTGTCTTTGGGCAAAGCATAGAGAATAAGAAAGTTTGTATTTTGGTGTTTTGTTTTTTTTTTAATAATTTTTATTCATCTAC